TCCTCTTCTCCTCTGCCTTGAGAGAGTCCAGAGGATCGGTGGAAATCAGGGAACCAGAGGACAATGCTGCCACAGGTTGGTCAACTGTAGGAAGCATTAGGAGGTCCTCTAACTCTGGGGCTGCACAGTAGAGCTTTTTGTCCAGGTTGCTGGGTGTGGCCAGGGAGGCTGGTTGTCCCCAGGGGTTCTGAATGACCTCCGTAAACAGCTGAGGGCACGGGATATAGTCCTTCTGCGGCTTTGATGAGTTGAAAAGCGCGTCATGAGGGCCTGCTGTCGGTGGGGTGGCGGGAGTGACATCCCCTGGCACTCCAAGATTGGTTGTGAGACGTGCCTTGTGGAGCAAGGACTTGAATAGGGCCGGGCGGAAGAGGCCTGTAAACGCCGGTGTGTCAGGTGCTAGGCCCTCATCCTCTGATAGTTCCATCTCCTCAGGCCCTTCCTCTGCCTGGTCAGACTCCTCTGAGGAGGACTCCTGACCTCGTCTAGGGAGAGGCTGGGGTTGGGGCTGGTGGCGCCGCGACTGGCTTGGAGTGGCTTGGACTGGAGCCTGAGCCGACTGCTGCAAGGTTGCGCTGAAGAAAGATGAGAGTGCGGCCGAAAACATGGCCTGGAAATCCAGTGGGGAAGCCATTCCGGCCCCCCCTTGGGGCTGCGGCTCAGCTCTTGGCGATAGGCCCGTTGCTTCCGTGGCCCGATGATGCCCTGCAGGAAGGAGAGTTGGTGAGGTCTCCGCTGCGAGCCCTCTGCCTGTCTCCAGGCGGGGTGTGCTGTGACCCGACCTGAGCACCTGTGGAGTTCTTGGGGTTACTGCAATGTCGGATACAGTTGAGATCCCCAACTCCGCGGCTCTGGGGGGCGCACGCACTTGCTCCAAGGATGTGGGCTCCCTGGATGGTGCCTCTACCAGTGTCCTCTGAGCCCTCTCCCACTGTCTCTCGAGCGCGTTGTGCCTCCTTAACGCATCCCTGTCCTGAAAAGGCAAGGCTCCTTCAGAAGCAGCTCTGCTGGTGGCGCTCGTATGCCTCTTCTTTGATTTCTTCTTTCCCCCTTTACTGCTCTTGTGGTGGGGGCTAAGCTCCAATTCCATGTCTGAGGATGGGGGGGGAGTGAGACATGGCTGAGGCTTGAGACCGCTGGGCAGACCCCCTAATCCTGCACTGCGCCAACTGCAGACAACTCTCTTCACGAGAGTCCAAAAGGTGCAAAATCTTCTCCTCAGGTGGTAGAGGAGGAAGATGCTCGACCCCTTTCAGGCGTGGGGGGGGGGGTCTGCCGCCGCGGCTTGCAGGTCAGTGAGGATGCCGGCTGGAGAGTCTGTCCAAGATGGCGGCCCGCAGGTCCATCAATATGGCGCTGGCACGTGGCTCCGCTGTGCCCGACTCTGGTGACGGTCTTACACTGGCGGCCCGAGGGTCCGACCATCTATCTATCTATCTATCTATCTATCTATCTATCTATCTATCTATCTGACACATTTGAATGAGATGGAGTTAGCAGCTAGGGCTCCCAATTATGCTGAGGGGCCAAAGAACCATGCAATCTCACCACTACCCCAGGGAGCCAATAGGTTGGAGTTGGAGGGGGAATGAAGACTCGGTGAAGCTTGAGGCAGGTCAAATTATTCAAGCAGTGATAGGCATAGGACTTTTTGATGAGAGACGGAGGATAGACTGTCCCAGAGAAGACATCAGTTGTTTTTGATGTTGGTGTCCTATTCTTCCCTTCTGTATACATGCCCAGGTCTTAATAAGCAGACCAGAGGCCAGGGCTTTCAGCTGCTACTGCTTAATACTAGGTTGGTTAATAACAAAGCTTATCTGATTTGCAATTTCATCAGTGAGAAGGTGGCCAACCTGCCATGTATTATAACACTAAGTTTTTAAGAAGAGATTAGATACCCTGTTTCCCCTAAAATAAGACATCTCCTGATAATAAGCCCAATCGGGCTTTTGAGCGCATGGCAATAAGGCCAAGCGCTTATTTCAGGGATCAAAAAAATATAAGACAGGGCCTTATTTTAGAGGAAACACAGTAATTATTTGTCTGAAGTGGTGTACAGTTTCCTGCCTAAGCAGGGGCTTGGACTAGAAGACCTCCAAGGTCCCTTCCAACTCTGTTATTGTGTTATTGAGACTTGGCTATTCCAGGCAGACAGCACCCTCTCTGAAACATGTCTGGATGACTTTAGGGTATGATACCAGCTGGGATCTCAAGATAAGGGAGGGGGACTAGAAACTGTTACCCGAGACTTCAGGGGCGCTGCTCCACAAGTTGCCAGTCATGAAATTCTGTTTCTGAAGACAGGGGAAGGGATCAACTGAGATTACAGAGAGGTGTAGAACCTCTCTGCCTCAGCTGCTGTAGATCATTATGGACTTGGCTGTGGAGTTCCCCAGGCTACTGACCTTGGGGGGTGGGGTGTATTTTAATTTGCCATCCCTGGCGCTCACCTCAGAAGCAGCCCAGAAGCTCATGGCCATTATGACAATCATGGGCTTAATCTAGGTTATTCATGGCCCACTGAAAAATAATCACACATCTGAGGTTTTTTTTCTCAGAACAGTGACCATGTGATCTGAATGTTGGGATCAGATCATGCTCTGGTGACTTTTATGCTATCCACTCTGCAGGAATAAGACCTATTCAATAAGTCTGTCCCCTGATGGACCCACTGGGATTCCAAAGGGAACTGAGGGTTTTACCTGAAACTCTGCTGCATGGTCTTGCTGAGAATGTCAGCAAGAGGTGGTATTCAGCTGGTTTGTTCCGATTCGGGCGAACCAGTAGCAGAGATTGCAGGTGGGCCCGCCCATCAGCCCCAGCTCTATGCCGCCCTATTTAGGCATGGTTTTGAGGCTGGGTGCATGCGCGGAAGGCGCACATACAAAGTTCATGCACCGAAGGCCAGGCACATGTGTGGAAGGTGCGCCCGAGCATGAACCAGTAGCAACAAAGTGTGAAACCCACTGCTGGTGGCCACTACCTGGAACAGGATAGTGCCCATGCCACCTCTCTTGGCCCATCACTTATTTAGGGAAGAGTTGAAGGCGCTAAAAAGGGTCAAGAGACATCTAGAGCACCAAAAGAAAAGACAAGGGATGAATCCAATTAATCATGAGAGCTTCTATTGAGGCCTACCTCATGGTTGTAAGAGTGGAAAACAGATATATTTCTCCACTCTTACTTTATCTACAGAGAATTGCCTGGTGGCCTGCGTTTAAAGTTGTCTGGGCCCTCCTAGGTAAGGGTAAGGGGGGGAGGTCTGAGGGGTTTAACTTTACAGACATAGGGAGGAATTTTCAGTTAACAGATAAAATTGCTCAGACTCATTCTCGGTTGGAAGTCAATGGGGGTGCAGGTCTTTTGGAGAGTTATATAGGAAGTTTGTTCCTGTTGGAACCAAGGAAGTGGAAAGAGCTCTTAGGACTGTAAGGATGACCACCAATGAATCAGATCTATGCCCCTTGTGGTCGGTCAAGAAGGTGACATGTGGATGGGTTCAAACAATGGTTAATTTATCATTGACAAAAGTGGTGTTTTTGGCACTATTTAAAGAGCTATCATGCCAATTCTCTAGAAGCTATTTGTCCAGTCTCTCTCCTCCCCTTTCTAGGGAAAGTAGATGAGAAGGTGGTTGTGCTATTGTACTATAGCTTCAGAGAGTTCTGGATGAGACAGATTAACTGGATCCCTTCCACTTAAATTTCAGGTTGAATATGGGACAGAAATGGCATTCATCAAATTTTTGGATGACTCCTCTGGCAGCAGCAGGATAGAGTGCACATCCATCCTGGCTCTTCTTGACCTCTCAATGTACCATCAAAGCTGGTATCCTTTTCAGTTGGCTTTGGGAGCTGGGGGTAGGGGGCATGCATTTGTGCTGGTTCACCTTCTTCCTCCAAAGCACATTGATAGGGAGCAAGAAGTCAAACCCAACGGGGTTTTCTTTGTGGGGTGCAGCAGGCCTCAGTACTCTCTCCACTTCTAATATCTACATGAAGCCACTGAGTAGCTATGGAATGAATTATCTTAAGTATGCATATGATACCTAATTGTACATTTTCACGAAGTGATGCTGTGGATGCCCTTTTGTGGTGGTGGAAGCTGTGGGGTCTGGATAGGGAACAGCAGGCTTCAACTGAATCTCAGTAAGACAGAGCAATTGTAGGTAGGAGCCTCTTCTTTATCTGAAGGCTTGCCATGTTTGGTTTTGGATAGGGTTACACTGCCCCCGACAGATCTGGTGCGTAATCTGGGAGTCCTTCTGGACTCATGACCTTTGTTCCTGCCTTTGCTCAACTTCATGTTGTGTGCCAACTGCACCTTGTCCTGGATCAAAAGGTTCTTTTTTCTATCATATATGCCTTGGTCAACTCCCATAAGGACTACTACAATATGCTCCGCATGGGGCTATCATTGAAGAGTATCCAGAAGCTACAATTGGTGCAGAATGTAGCAGTATAAGCAGTTTGGTGACAGACATGTAACAGTAACATCTCTGGTACACAAGATGCACTGGCTGCCAGTCTGCTTCTGGGTCCAATTCAAGGTTATCATCTTTAAAGTGTCTCATGACATGGCACCAGGCCACCTGAGAATTGTTTTGTCTGCATTTCATCAACCTGTCCCACCTGATCAAGCAGGAAGGATATGCTGAAAACCCAATTGGCTAAAGAATTACAATTACAAACTGCAGCTAATTTTACAGCTTGACATAATATAGTAAAAATGTAATTATGACTTCAAACATGATAATTTGTTCCATTCAAATCAACGAAGTATTTTCATTTCTCCTGCTATATATATATTTCCTATAAAATGCTACCGTTCTTTTATCTCTCTAGTTAGGAGAGTATGAGAAAGTTTTCAGATACTGATACTGAATATACCCCAAAGAATAGGATACTTAATATTATTGTCAGGTTTTTCCAACACTCAAGAATTAAAGCTAACTTTTAGTTCATTTTCACAAAAAACTCAGTCGTGATAACATGTACCTCTATTGTGGGATGTGTATTATGCTTGTAGGCAGTATACAGAGGAAACTGGATCTGAAAGATCTTTGCAACACAAAGCAATAGTTTTTCCTTCTCCTCAGTGCTCCATATGCTAAAGGTATCAGAACCTTCTGCAGATTCTTCTTCTGTCAGGATACAAGTTCTCCCAGAATCTATTTTTTCTTCTGTACTTTTGTGTCTATCTTCATTCTCTTCTTCTCCACGAGTTTCTCTTTCTACATTCAGTGGCTCATCAGATGCATTATTTTCATCTTGCCATGTTGAACCTAAGTTAATAGTGCAATGTTTACACAGCTGGTCCCGAAGAGCCTGTACTTGAGCAATCACTAGATTTATAAGTGCACACACAACTTGGTTGAAAATCTCCAAATGCTTATATTCCTTGAAACAGCATAGACACTGCCTGTTTAAAGAAAGGTAAATAAAAATTAAAATTCAGAGTTCTACAAATAACTGTGCTAACTACTTTAGATTATAAGTGAATTAACATGGCATCCTTCCAATTTTGCTGAATTACATTTTCCAGCATCCCTCACTACTTTATTGGGACTTGTGAGTTCAGCAGTTTCTATAGGGCTACATGTTGCTGAACTACATACTCATAAAATCTGGCATTGCTAATTTATATATGTTTTAATTTAAGGATTCTTAATTTATATATTTATGATTTTTATGAAATAATGCAAATATACAAATATAATTCAAATCCTTGGTATTTTAAAAACTGTAACATTAAACTGTGTATCTTAAAATAATATGGATTATGTCCAATACTACACAGGTAGACCTGTAATAGCAATAGCAATTAGACTTATATACCACTTCACAGAGCTTGCCAGCCCTCTCTAAGCGGTTTACAGCATATTGCCCCCAACAATCTGGGTCTTCATTTTACCAACCTCAGAAGGATGGAAGGCTGAGTAACCCTGAGCCACTGAACTCCTGGCAGTGAATAAAGTCAGGCTGCAATACTGCATTCTAATCACTATGTCATCACGGCTGAGATTATTTTCAATCTTTCCCATTCAATTGCACCCTTCTTTAGAGAGCCCACGAAACTACCAGAGCAGATTTTAGAAGTATGGCTATCTATTCCTTTAACGGTTGCTTTTCTAGCAGACAACATTAGATGCAAGTGATACTTCATTTTAAAAAAGTGAGTTTTTCATAACAACTTTCTCAAATATGCTAAAAAAAAGTCACTTCATGTATGGTGCCTATAACACTGGAAAGAAGAGACATTTCATGCTAGTTTTTACTTTTTCTTTGTATAAGTGAGAGTCCAACGTTCCCCTTTACCTCAACATTCTATAAATAAAAAGCATGGGGTTCATCTGTTGTGCCCAACATAATTTTTTCTATCAGCTACAGAAACAAGATGCAATTCTGTTATATTAAACAGGCACAAAAAAAGCAGTCAGTGACACTGATGGCTGCACATACTAATAACCTACATACATGCCAATAAGTAATACCATTCCATTGAAACTATAAAGATACAATTGATTCATTTAAAATATGCTCAACTGTGAAGGGAATAGTGACAAACATTAATTGGCAATGATTCTGAAATTACTTTGAAACTGCTAGCAGTGAAAACTCTGTTCAGATATAGAAAATTCTACACTGCCAGATATTTACAACATAGCCATGAATAGATGCACTTGCAGGCCACATATTGACTTAGAAAACCACATGTTTATATATTTACTTTTATCAATATATTAACACATTAAAATCAGATAGAAACGAGATATAATTGATATATATTAAAAGGCAGGTTTTTAAGATGTTGAAAAAATTCAGACCAAGATAAACCACTTCAGAATTTTTTCAACCTTTAATAGAACATATAAGCAGTTTTAAAAATGTAGTGTCACACAAACTGAAAAACTGATGCAAGTCTACAAAAAAAAACCTCAGATTTATAACAGCTCCATACTAACAGCCCCATACTATTGTACTTTTACCAAAAATTTAAGCAAAAGTTACCATGTAAACCAAAATGATTTATCTGATTTTTCTGTTTAATACAGAATTACATAAAAAAATGAAAGATTATTTTTATATCAACTTATCCATATTTACTACTTTTACTATTCAGATCGCCTGTACACACACACACACATCCATGTAGATGCACCATGAATATGGGCTATTTAAAAACAGATTTACCTTTGCGTCCAAGAATTGATATAAGCAAAAATCTTGAGTGCATGCTCCTTTCTGAGTTGCAAGCCATCACCACCATCAGTATCTGATACTAAAGAAAAATAATGGTACTATTAACTGTCATGAAGTGTTTAAAGTTTTTTATATACTCTTTACTAAAAATAAAATGGTTAAATAATGGCAATTTAAATGTTTCAGGAACATTAAAAATGTTGTTCCCATATTTTAAAGTTTTAATGTTTTTCAACATATTAAGATTTAAATTAAGCTGTAGGAAAATTGTGTCAAACAAATGGGACCATTAATATACTTGCAGACCACATATTGATTTAGAAAGCCACACATTTATTTATTTATTTTTATCATTATATTAAGACATTAAAATCAGACAGAAATGAGATATCTAGTGTATATTAAAAGACACTTTTAAGATGTTAAAAAAATAAAGACCAAGATAAATCACTTCAGAATAACATATAAGTAATTGAAAAACAAATAGAAATCTTTTAGAGGTAAAATTAACAATAAAAAACTAGAATAATGTGGCTGCCATGGGTGATTCACTTAACTACTACAACTGGGACTTCCGTTGTAAGTCAGTATGCTCACATTATGTTTTGCTTCACTTAGCAACAGAATTCCAGTTCCAATTAGGGTTTTTAAGGAAGTACTATTTATACCATGTTTTCCTGAAACTAAGACCTCTCCGGATAATAAGCCCAATTGGGCTTTTCAGCGCATGCGATAAAATAAGCCCCCCCCCCCAACTACTTATGCATGTGCAGCAGGTCCCACCATTTCCTCTCGTTGCTTGTCGCGCAAACAACACGATGTGAGCAGGCAAGTCCGGAGGGGGAGAAAGGGGGGAACAAGCCCCACACACCCCACACACATTTACCGTACCTACCAGTACACTGATGGCTGCCGCAAAGAGCGGCAGGCCAGAGACCCACTTCGCGCCCCCTCCCTGCTTAGCCACCTGCCTCATTTAGGGATGGAATGGGTGGGAGGTGGGGTGGGGGAGAAGCGAGACGCGCATCTTACCTTTCCAGCTCCGTCGTGTTCCTTGCCATTGTGTCCAGGGAAACACATTGTAAAAGAAAACATACTTGCAAGTTCAATCAAACTTCTCAAACTCGCAAGTTTTCTTTTACAAATTGTTTCCCTGGACACAACGGTGAGGAACGCAACAGAACTGGAAAGGTAAGACACATGTCTCACGGCCCAATACGTCCCACCCACCCCAATGGCAACAGCAGCCTGGCTGCTTCCCTTCCCCGCCATCTCTTTATCGAGAGGGGTGACAGGTGGGGCGGGGGAGAAGTGAAAGCGTGGAGCGAGACGTGGCTCCCCTTGCCATCTCTTCTCCCCCCCCCTCGCCGGATGTGGCAGGGATCCTGCCCCTTGCTTAGCCACCCACCCCCTTTAGGGATGCAATTTGGGGGTGGCAGGTGGGGCGGGCGAGAAGCAGGATGCGCTTCTTACCTTTCCAGCTCCGTCGCGTTTTTCAACTTATTGTGAGTTCGACATATCGGTGCAGCCGCGAGCAGCAGGACGGCAGCTGTGCCGGTATGATGACGCTCACGGTGGTGCTGCAGTTAGTGCGTGCAACGGCACAACAAGCCTTGCAGAGTCCTGTTCCATGAGGCAAGGGCGGCAGCAGGACACATCAGGGCAGTGACAGCCAGCCACTCGGCCGGTGCGAAGAACAGTGAGGGGAGGTGACGGCAGCAACGGGACATCCAGTCCCACACTCGCCGCCTCCATCACCCCCAGAATAATAAGGAACACCCTCCCCCCGATAATAAGGCCAAGCTCTTATTTCAGGGTTCAAAAGAAAATAAGACCCTGTCTTATTTTGGGGGACGCACAGTAAGCTAAAGTGAAGAAATGTACAAAATGCATTAATTCCTGAATGGAGAAATTCATTCCAGTCCAGAGGATTTAATTATAGAAGCTCTTCCCAAAATGACATAGTTCAGAAGGAGAAATAAACATTTCAGACTTCTCTGGAATTTTTAATGAAATCAATACCTTTTGCACATCCCTAAATGCAGAGCTATTGCGTCCTGATGTATGAATGATACAGCAAGCAGTTGGAACTATAGCAATTAACAAATTCAAGCTAGTATACAACCTCAATTACTCTAATGTCCTCCTTTCATGTCAATGAAGACATAATTCTACAAAGCTCATGTTACAAGACTGAAGTTAATTCGTCTCAAAATAAGTTGGGCTTAAAATTAATTGCAATACATAAAGTTGGTTTAAATATCTTGTTTCTGATTAATCACAGTCCAAGATTCGGGCACAAGAAGCTAGACATAATCTTAGCTTCCTGATATACTTCTTCATAATGATGAAGGTCTACATGCATTATGAATCTTGGTTTGATGATATAATTCTTCACAATAACAAAGGCCTACATGCATAATCAAGCTTCTTATGCACAATACGCAGTGAGTTAAGTTTTGTATCATACTATGATATTCAAATGTAGATACCAACTACAGGTAGTTCCTGACTTATAACCATTCTTTTAGTGACCATTCACAATGGCACTGACGAAAGTGATTTATCACCGTTTTTCACACTTACGACCATTGCAGCATCCTTGTGGTCACATGATCAAAATTTGAATGCTTGGCAAGAGACATTTATGAGTGTTCTAATGTCTTGGGGAAATGTGATCACTTTTTGCGACCTTCTGACAAACAAAGTCAATGGGGAAGTCAAATTACCATATTTTTTGGACTATAAGACGGATTCCCCCCCCCCAAAAGTGGGTGGAAATATCTGTGCATCTTATAGAGCGAATATTGTGGCAGGTGGGGAGGCGGGTTGGTGCGGCGCCAAACAGCTGTTCTAGGCGGCGGGGATCGCTGCCATCGCCTATCGCCACTGCCTGTTCACAGTGATCGGTGGCGAATGGGCAGCGGTGGCAAACAGGCCATGGTGAACGGGCAGCAGCAGCACAAGAAAGGTCGTAAATGAGGCTTAACTCACTTAACTGTCATGCTTACCATGTTTCCCCGAAAATAAGACGTCTTATATTTTTTTGAACCCTGAAATAAGCACTTGGCCTTATTTTCGGGGAGGTCTTATTATTTTGGGGTGCGTGGAGCAAGACAGGGCTCCTCGTGCCATCTTACCTGATTTCTCCCTAACCCTAACCAGAAGAAATGGCGAGGACCGGGGAAGGGTTTATTTTTGGGGGAGGTCTTATTTTCTGGGGAGGTCTTAATTTCTGGGGAAACACGGTAACAACTGAAATTTTGGACTCAATTGTGGTTGTAAGTTGAGGGCTACCTGTACTCTAATGAGGGGGGGAGAGAGAGAAGAGATACAACTAGTCCTCAAGTTATGACTGTAATAGAGCCTGTCCATGATGATTTAATGGTTTCAATGGCCATAAAGGAGACTGCATGACCAACCCAATTTTATGACTTTTTGTGGTGATTATTAAGCAACCACTACAGTGTTAAGCAAACCCATGGTACACTATGGGCCAGTTTTGTCAAAAAAAAAAAAAAACAGACACAAATGCAGGTTTTCTGCAAAACTGTCATAAAACATAGTTATGTGATTGTGGGACATAGCAAATGACTCTAAATCCAGGCCAGTTGAGAAGCATATTAAGTGTGGTCACATGACAGTGGGGGGAGGAGAGGCCTGACTATCTGAACTTTGAATCCAAGTCATAAGTACCTTCCAAGTAGGTCCATCATAACTTAGTAGGTCACCAAGAGATCAGTCATAAGTTGAGGACTATCTGTATTAAGTTTGTGAAACTGAAACATAGAAAAACAGATCTCTATCACACTAACAAAATATCCATGAAAATATTCTGAAGGGTGAATCTATTCAGAAGTACTTGACTATCAACCAAATACTGGCTTCTGACATATTTATTAAGAACGAATAATCATACAGAATTATCTTGCTGAAAGTTATACACGACTACATAAACAAAAAGAAATCCTGGAAGTTTTCTCTTTAAAAAAAAATTATCTTAAAACATTTAAGAAACAAAATAAATAATTACACAGAAGAAAAGAAAATGGACATATATGGAAAATAAAATTTTCCTAAATAAAAATAAATAGTGGGTGTACTTCTGCTGGATTTGATGGGACCAGCAGATTGGAGGAGGAGATCCCTCAAATAACCATACCATGAAGGGCTTTAAAAATCAAAACCAAAACCTTGAATTGTACATGGAAGCAAACTGTCACTTATGGAACTAAGGTATCACATGCGCTGCTCTAGTGGCATGTGTAACTGCCTGTACCACATCAATTTGTATCAACTGAAGTTCTGAATACTCTTCAGGGGTAATACATGTAAAGCGCAATCGTTTAAAAGTACAACTTCAAAGTCCAGAGCTTTGGAAGCTTCTGTCCAACCACCTCCTCAATCACATCCTCTTCCCAAGTTGTCTAATATGGTAGAATCTAGCTATGGTTTTATGATAAGGGGGTGAACCAAGAAGTGGTTACCCTTAAATGGAACAATTTAAGAAGTGGAAGAACCACCCCTCACACAAGGAGAAATTCACCATTACCAAAACCCATCCATATGACACCCCTTAGTCAGCTTTAACTAGCAGGAGGAGCATGGATCTACAGAGAAATGACCAAGCTCACAATCCTATGGGCCCTGTTGTTCCCCAGGCCCAATAGGTTCAAATTAATCCAGGATAGCAGGGCAAGAATCTGCCCAGGAACCTCCTTAAGGCCTCCAACAAGGCTGACATCCAACTGAGAAAAAATTTGGGCAATTCTGACTGACAGAGGTTAAGCAAATTTCTCCACAGTCCTGTAGGAGGATCTACAAGTCCTCTCTACCCAAGAGGGCATGAATCCTCTGAAACAAGGCTTTGGGGCAGCTATGTGCCGACACAATAAAAGCAAAGAAATATTGCTGCTTCACTGTCCTCATCTCTACATAATAGTCTTAATAGCAGCTCTACCCCATGTTTGCTTGTTTGTCCCTTCTTGAGTGCCAACAACACTCTAGATGTCTCTTCTCCCAATTTTTTCCATGAATCATGGAGACTGACAGAATCCATAAGGGGCAAGATCACATAGC